ATTATTAATAAAAGTAGTAGTAGTAGTAGTAATAATAATAATATTAATAGTAGTAGTAATAATAATAAAAGTAATAATAATAATAATAATAATCATAGTAATAATAAAAATAATAATAATAATAATAATAATAGTAATAATAAAAGTAATAATAATAATCATAGTAATAATAATAATAATAATAATAATAATAATAATAATAATAGTAATAATAATAATAAAGCTGCCCTTTTTTGTTGTGCAGATCTGAGGAAGAACTTTGAGGAGGAGCCTCTTGGTAAGGAAGTTGCTCTGGATCAGGAGCTCCTCCTGCGCTGTCATCCTCCTGAAGGTGTTCCTCCAGCAGAGGTGAGAGCAACAAGTAAACACGCCGACATGCTAATTATCCGCTCATTAATGTAGTCTCACAAACACACTGCGGAGCCAGAGATCTGCCGTCTCTCCTCATTCTCCGTCTGGACGTGCACGAGGAGCCATGCGGGCTGATTTGGCAGCTTTGCGAGTCCCATCAATAATTGCGTGTATTTTTGCACTGGAGCAGGACTGGAGCAGCTGTCCACGCTCGAAAACGTCCAGAGACAATATTTCACTCCAGTTCAACTACAAAAATGACGGATGTATTAGAGCTCGTTTCATTCTGTATCTTGTTTTCACACTGTTAAAATATCAGCTCATTAGCAGTTGCTCATATCCAGGGGCCAGACACAATCTGTGGACATATCTGCTACTTCTGCACAGAGTTGTGTAAAATAATCTGCGGATTCATGTGGGATGATTTTGAGAGCGTGGTAACTAAATACTTGAAGTGTGAAATAGAATAAAGGATCACTTTAAGGTTTACAATGCGAATACAACTAGATCATGTGGTTTTATGGTGTTGATAAGAAAATGCTGTATCTTTTTTTATCAGTCCATATTCCAGAGTGTAATCAGGTTTATCCACATGATATGGCGATCTTTCTGCAAATCTGAAATCAAAACTCTTTAATAATGTCAGATTTGCAAGAGTATGGTATATAACAACGTAGTGTGAAATAACAAATAACCTTTTACTTTAATATTTACTATGCAAATGTAGCAGGGGCCAGCTAGTAAGTGCTGTGCAGGTAAACCTCACTCCTGTGACCTCTAAAGGTGCTCTAGCGACAGACGCAAGAGGCCGTGGTCTTTTGCCTCCTTGTTAGAGCAACCGACTCCCATGCGAAAGGTCGCCGGTTCGATCCCAGCCCGAGCAAGTTGGGTGGTGTAAGACCGGCGGGGTTACACAAACACAATTAGATCCACTTGTTTGGCAAACAAAGCAAGTATCTCATCTAATATATCAACTAAACGACATAAAATATGACTTTACAAACTGTATTGTAAATAAATCTTAGAAACATTTGCATATTAGTTAATAAAACTACTGAAATCCATATAAAAACTGATTAAATCTACAGTTGAAGTCAGAATTATTTGCCCCCTATTTATTTTTTCCCAATTTCTGTTTAATGGAGAGCAGATTTCTTCAACATTTCTAATGATTTTTAATAACTTATCTCTAATAACTGATTTATTTTATCTTTCCCATGATGACAGTAAATAATATTTGACTAGATAGTCTTCTATTCAGCTTAAAGTGACATTTAAAGGCTTAACTAGATTAATAAGGTTAACTAGGCAGGTTAGGGTAATTAGGCAAGTTATTGCATAATGATGGTTTGTTCTGTAGACTATCAGAAAAATATATAGCTCAAAGGGGCTAATAATTTTGACCTTAAAATTGTGTTTAAAAAATTAAAAGCTGCTTTTATTCCAGCCGAATTAAAACAAGTGAGACTTTCTCGAGAAGAAAAAATATTATCAGACATACTGTGAAAATTTCCTTGCTCTGTTAAACATCATTTGGAAAATATTTTAAAAAGAAGAAAAAAATCAAAGGGAGGCGAATAATTTTGACTTCAACTCTATATTTACATCGATTTAAATGGGGATGATTTATTAGTTAATAAAATTACTGAGATCCTAAAATACTGGAATTATTGAACATATTTATTTAAGTCTTTTTTTAGGTTTCCTTTTTGATTTCCAAGCATTAAAATAATTTATAATGTTTGCATTTTTAATAAAAGATAAGAGAAAGACTAATCTACTTTCCTCCTGCACTGAAAAACACATATATCATGCATTTATTGTGTATGAGCTACACTATCCATA